AAAAGATATTACCACAGGAAAGGAAGCACACCATATATATATACTTGCATGAAAAAGAGAAAGATAGAGATCCAGATAAGAATAAAAATGATTGGGTTATATATAAACGCATTGAAGATCGCAAAGTAAAGGTTGAATTACTAGAAGATGTGCACACAATGAATAAGCTTGATGTAACAGCCGTTGATTCAGTATATAAAGAGACAGAGGAAACACTTATGAGAAGTGTCTTAGAGCCAGCCAAAAAAATGGTGAGACCCCATATCGAAGTAACAGAAGAATCTCTTATGAAAAATGTCCTGGGGCTACAGGAAAAGCTCACCAAATCCAATATTAAAGAAACTATGAGGAAGGTGGCCAAATATGGTATTCCAGGGGTACTGGCAATGGTCGTCTTACCATTCCTTGTGATGGAATATCTGAAGATACCTGGTGCCAGTGCTTTTCTGGAGGCTGAATTAATAGGGGCAAAAGCGGGTTTAAGTAAAGCGGTAGAGCATATCCCGGAAGTCGTCATGGAAACCACAACTTGTGTAGTAGAGACAGTAGTTTCATCTTTCATCAGCTGGTTGCTCCAGTTGCCTACGTCGGCGCCCGAGAAGAATGATACCTCCTGTGCGATCCACACAGCGGAAAAAACTGTAAAGGCAATGGCTGAAGGAGCAGATCATGGCACCGCTGTAGGTACCTCAATTGGAATGTCAAACACATGGATTCAATTTGGATTGGAAATAGCAATGGCTGCTGCCATTCTCATCATTGTTGAGGTTATTTTCCAAATATTTCTGTATCTGGATAATAGGGGCCACCTGGATTTCATTGCTAAATACAGAAGACGTTTTAAACGTTTCATGGTTGAAAGAGAATACAAAATGCGTAAGCCAAAGTCATTTTAAGGGACTTATGCTCTATAAGTGTGTTCATGTGTGAAATGATCTCTATGAACTCACAGGGCATCGCGTGGAAGTCTTCGTTTTATGGATAGTAATTTGTCTGCACTTTGATTCATTTATTCCCCATCTGCTTCTTAAATCTAATTTATAAAATTAGTTAATTTTCTTCTAATATTTACGTATTTTATATAACCCATATATGTTTTATAAATTGCGCTAACTTTGGAAGCTTACACGGGGTCCTTCCCACTTTTCCTTGTTCGGAGTAATTTTTAGTAAACATGAATTAATGCTGTGCACTAATATATACGTATAGGAGGATTCCTGTTTATAGTGCATATTTTTACATCCGGCTTCTATAATTGGCAGTTGGCAATGCTTATTCAAATTTCCTCTCTTATGGTGGCTTATAGAGGAATAAGTAAAATAATATACCTATATACAGGATGGTCCAATGGAAATATGTGTATTGCATACTACGGTATTTTTTTAGTCAAAACATGTCCCACCTTATTTGATCAAGTAATGACTTCACCCATTGAATTTGTACAGAATTGGACAGATTCATATGTTATCCTATTCCGAGCTATCCTACTTCTTTTACGTTCTAAAGGAGTCTTCTATATACAGGTATCCTTCTTACTGCTAATGAATTCCTTAAAATAAAATAATAATCTGTACTATCATGTGAATGTCCATGAAACAAAATTAATAAATGTTCTATAGCTATAGTGCTCCGTCTACTGGTGAGAACTTTTGCCGATTGCAAACTTCAACAATGCTGTTAAAGATCCTCTTAGGGTGCATTTCTGATCAGATTACAAGGAGGAATGAATTTTTGTTAATTCCCACTGCTTCTGTGCTGTTCTTGTGACACATTCATTTTTGCCCGAGGGTTTTCCATTTGGCGCTTGTATTGGGATATTCGTTCCTATATTTGATGTGTCACACGTGTCTCATGAGAAAAGATCCCGCACCTGTTAAAGAGGACGTAGCGATTAAGTGAATACATACGTTTCACTTTCTAGTTTCTATACACAACAGAATTTTCTTCCGCACACAATGATTTTTGCATTGTGCCGCATGTTTCTGATCGATTAAAGATTTCTCGAGCAAGGATTAGTGCATAAAAGGCCGTGTAGCATAAATTACTAATGTACCCCCCTTAAGGATGGTGGACAACGCGTAAATTTACAATAATGCTCATGCAGTAATAATGAGCAGCAGGGAAGCTCCTTTTCCACAAAACGATTCATATGAGTTACACAAAGCCAAGTTGAACATGTAGAAGCAAATATATAAATTATTTTATCAGAATAAAAAAATGTCGTATATATTTGGCAGATTCCGACCTCTGTCCACATTGCCCACAGAAGTGTTCTATAGACGTTGCGGGACAGTGAACAAATATTACCATAAATGGAGCATACAAATAGTGTATAACTCAATAAGTAGTGGAGGAGAGCACATGTTGTATTTTAGCCCGTGTCCACGATTGAAAAGATGGTTACCTGTTGATGATTCTGGAAAATGAAACTCATAAGTTCAGAAGTGTACATCTAATTTCCTCTTAACCGAAGAGGAAAGAGTAGCTTTGTCATATCAGAACCTCTTAACAAACAGATTCAATTCATTTCACACACAGCTCTTTAGGGAGATATTTAATTCCCCATTTTAGAGTGTAATAAAATAACCCAATTGAGGGAAGGAAAGGTGAGGCTA